TAAATATTTGTTTGGATGGGGGGATGGGGGGTAGGGTGCACAGAGAGCTCGGTACAGGGGTGGGCAGGAATGAACATTTTGGAGCAGCATTGGAATAGATGTGTAGAAACGAGAAGAGGATGGCTCAGGGCATTCATCTTTTGGGTGGCGGCGGCGATGAATGGTCGTCCCAATTGTGTTCTAATTTTCGTATTGCTTTTATATGGTTTTGTTTTTTCATTTTTTATCTGTAGCTGATAACTCAAAAAATATTGTCCGGTGGGTCGAAGCATCATTTTAATGCCGTACCCATCGACTCGTCCGCGTGGCACGCCCGTCATGTTCTCTCCGGTGGGTCGAAGCATCGTTTTAATGCCGTACCCATCGACTTGTCCGCGTGGCACGCCCGTGTTCTCTCTTCATGCTGATTGTGTGAGCCTGGCGCAGAAAAGTATTTATTAAGGAGTACACGCATCATGCTACTTTGCAATAGCCGGCACCGACATAGAGAGAGGTGTGATTAGACTACAGCTCGTACTGACCCAGGGGTTGGCTTTCAAATTGAGGGGACGAGGCGCAAATCCTGTCTCTCCAGGGGAAATGAGGGCGAAGAAGTGAATAGATAATACATGGGACCATGATACCGGCTTTTTAAATGGATTCTAACCTTCATACACACATTCTCACCGGTGTACTTCCAGACCGGCGTACAAACGCCCTCCTTCCTCTACGTTTTTGTGTGAGCATGGCATCAATTAGACAAGAAAGATTTTACGGTGCCCTTTGACACGCGCAGATGTATTTGACACTAAGTATCTGCCCATGTTTCTGTAATGAATTGATTGGGTAGATAGAAACAAAAAAGTTATTTTTTGTGAGCGTGGTTGATGTCCGAGGACGACCGTGACGTCACGATGCAGCATCTCGCGTTTGCGGAATCCATAGCCATGCTGATTATTTCGAGCAGGAAACCCCTGAGGACCGCACACGAGGCTTTCGAGGTCTATATAATTCGAAATTTTCATACGTGTGCAGATCTCACTGATTCGCCTTGCTTTGGTGCTTTGTCGGCGCATAAAACGAACGAGGAAACGATCCCCCGTCATGGTTCCACGCACAGGTAGTTGTAGGGAAATTCACACGGTGCCATTGAAGTACGAGGATGGACACCCCAAGCCCTACTTTCCGCTCTCTTTTCGTCCTGGTGGGCTCGGGTAACCCAAGCAAGATCGCCGCTGTCCGTCTCGCCTTCCTCTCCCTCTATCCCTCCCTCGATCCCGAGTCCCTACACGTGGAGGGCTTGCCAGTAGATTCAGGTGTCAGCGCACAACCCATCAACGACGAGGAGACGTACCGTGGCGCGATTATGCGGGCGCAGAACGTCTTGCGGTTGTGGAAGGAGAAAGAGGGGGAAAGGAGGCGAAAAGAAGAAAAACTTGGAGGGCTGATGGTGGAAGGAAGGGGGGCAGGAAAGAGAGAAGAGCAAGACAAGAGGAAGCGAGGTCCAAATGAGCGTCAACAAGGAGAAAAGGGTAAAGAAAGCAACCAATGCACAGGTGGGACGGGAAAACCATGCGAGATATGCAAGGGGTGCTTACATGTCTGTTCCACGGTGGGCGCGGAGGAGGGTAGCCTCCTCCTTCCGGATTACGTGGTGGGCCTCGAAGGAGGAGTGAAAGAAGAGCCTTTCCCGTCCCTTTGTCCTCCCCTTGCCCCTCCTTCCTCTCCTCCCCTCCATTGCTTCGCATGGATGGCCATTTTGGAACCGAGGACGGGCCGTTGGAGTGGCGCGAAGACCGCCTCCTTCCCTCTTCCCGGAATAGTGGCGACCATGGTGCGGGCAGGGGTAGAGCTGGGCGAGGCCGACGACCGGGTATTCGGGCGGGAAAAAAGCAAGGAAAGAGACGGGGTGGTGGGCCTCTTGTGGACCGGGCCGCGTTTTACGCCCCGGCGGTGGTGCTGGCGATGATTCCCTTTGGGAGGTATCGAGGGAGGTATGCTGGAGGGTGAGAGGGATAGGAAGAACGATGGTGAGAGGGGGAGGAAGGAAGGCAGAGAAGGAGGGTGAGAGAGGGAGGAAGAAAGGCAGAGAATAAGGCATGAACTATCGAGAGGAGGTGGTGAGAGCAGGCAATGGAGCCTGTGGCCCTCAGGAAAGGAATCTCTCTAGGAGAACGTCTCCTTCCCTTTCCCCACCGCGGAGCGCGCTTTCACTTGGAAAGGAATGTTCTCGCCAAAGAAATATGTAATACAAACAGATACATATGGATGTGCAGTCATACTACATATATATATGTAGTCATCTTCCCGCTCATGTAAATGTCGACGCATCCTTCCATGGCCGCACGTCAAGGGAGATGTAATGGTCCCTCTTAAATAATATTTAGGGCTGTCCTGCCCGTCGGGCGTCACATACTTTCTTCCCCCTCACTCCCTCCCTCCCTTCTGCACCTCTCTCTCGTTCCCTTTCTTTCCCATGCGTGTTGACTCTTTCCCTCCCATCTCCTCCATTTCTGGATC